CAAAATTTGGTATAACATCATTGTCTTGCGTCAAAACCGATTTGAAATGTTCATTAAGTGCATTTGCAATTTTTCGACCATCGTCAGCTTGAATACCATCAATTTCAAAAACATCACAAGATCTAGAAGATGGAGATATTAATCGCCAGAATCTCTCAGGAGACGTGGTTATGAAATGCGGTAATGATTCACCGTAATAATGTTGTTTGTCCATAGCTAATTTATATTTAAGTTGGGTGGAAACATTAAAAATTTTTTCATCGAGCTTTTGTGTGTTCACGCATGTCTTCTTTTTTCTTTTTAGTCGCTTTAGTTTCCTCCGCAGCCGTAATGTCTCAAGAGATATCCAGGGGTTATTTTTATTTTTTTTTACAATGCATGGTACAAATCGTTCAATGCATTCATTTACAATACCTTTAAAGCAGTTCCAAAGCTAATGTGTATTGGCAGTGCTATTTTCAAAAGCGTCAAAGTTGAAAGAAAGCATGTCAACAATGGAAACGTCGTCGGCACGTGAGAAGTTTCGGAAACACAAAGTTTTGTCATCTCGGTCCACAGAAACGTCATCCATGGTCAATAAAACAGCCTGATGATCGGAAATTCCAGGTACTACCTCACATTTAGTATTACCAGAAATCATTCCACTTGCAAAAAAAAAAATCAAGTATCGATTTAGAGTTACCTTGAATCCTCGTGAAATCTTCAACGACTTGTAATAAGTCAAAAGTAAATGCTATATCCAGCATTGCTTCACCAGATTCGTCACTTTGATTTAGGACTAAGAAGTTTGGCCAATCAACGTTTGGCAAATTAAAACCTCCGGACAAAATAATCCGATCATCAGGCTTAACATCTACACTAAGATAATTCCTCAAACACTCGAGGACAGCAACTGAGGAACTAGGAGGCCTGTAAGAGGCCCCGAAGACGTACCTAACCTTACCACTGTAAGCTTTGCAAACGATACACTATGTCAAAAACATCTGGCATGCTTAGTATTTTTAAAGAATTCTTAAAAAGGACACACACTCCACCTCCTTTACTTTCACGGTCTTTTCGGTAAACACTGTAGCCAGTAGGAACAAATTCACTGTCATATACGCTTTCGTTTAACCATCTCTCTGTTAAAATAACGATATTTGGATCATGAGAAAGCAACATTCCTTCTAGCTCGGTGGCCTTGTTAAGAACGCTCCTACAATTCATGTTCAATACTTTCAACGATCGAAGGCCACAGCTACGCCGTCAGTTATCGCTATCGTTTTTGTTCAGCCTAAAGCGTTGAGCATTTTCCTTCGTTCCAACCAAACGGTACCTTATCAACACTCAGCTTATCGTATACAAGTTTTGCTTTCGCTCCGTTTTTTGTTTCTTCGGCCGAACTTTTCCATAACTGTTTTCTTATTTCACGAATTCTGAAAGAATAGTCCTCTGATAGCGATATCGTGGTGCCTTTAAGTTTGTACGCAAACTTTATTATAGCAGTCTTTTCTCGGTAGTCCATAAATTTTAAAATGGTAGGGCGAGGTTTGTTTTCATCTTTTCGGCCAAGTCTGTGACATCTTTCAATTCCCGTTGCAGTAATACCCAGTTTCTCAGAGAAAACTTCGTTCTTTATTTTTCTTTCAAGCTCCTCTGGTGTCTTCGTGTTAGGTTCATCCAGGCCATATATGATCAAATTATTTCTGCGGCTTCTATTCTCCAAATCGTCAACCTTGGCCATAAGTGATGATAACTGCGAGTCAAACCTTGTCACTGTACTTTCCATGATTTTAACTTGGTTGGTTAATGCGTTCAGGTCAGTTACTTTCCGTTCTATCTCATCAATTCGTGCATCCAATGCGGTAATTTTCTTTTTAATTTCGTTTTGGGTGACCACCACTTCTTGGAGACTGACAGTAATTTTGCCCTGTCCGGCAAGTAGTTGCAGCAGAAGCTCGTTGTCAGGTCCTGGATTTGCTTCTACATCTCCGCAAACTAAGATATCTAACGGATGTGGAACAACACTACTAACACGATTCAGTAGGCATCTCACACATAGTTGACAGGGCAGCAGCACTAAAAAGCGGTCATCGCTCCGATAACAGTAAGATGGCATATAATCACTGACCTGTAATACGAAGCAGAAAGGGGTGCTCAGCATTTTGCCAGTCGTGCTGCTGCCGAGCGCACTGGTGAAGAACGGCGTCGTCGGTGTTCTTATAGCTGGTTGACGATCCACGTGACGTCACGTCACTGCTGAGCGGTCAAATAGGGAAGGCGTGACGTAGCGGAAGAACGGTTCATCGATGATACAGCGATCGTCACGCGCAGGCAACGCGGTGAGAAGTCCTCGATTCCAGTCAGCAGTTGTCGCTGCTCGATAGCAGCCATGCGACGCTGTCTGGGCTCCCAGGAGTACGGTCACAACCTGTAGTAGGAAGCAGAAAGGGTTGCTCAGCATTTTGCCAGTCGTGCTGCTGCCGAGCCAGTCAGTACAGTCTCTAGCAGCTCTTTTAAAAGTAAAAATTATCGAGTTCTTTTTTTTTATTATTATTATGGGCATTGGTAATCCATTCCACTTATTAATGCACACAGCGGGATACGTATTTTGCTAAACACTTAAACAGGCAAAGGGAAATTTGAGATTATCAAAATAATCACGCCGTAGAGGGTCATAATGAATGAAAAATTGTTACTTTATTCATCCATAAAATGTTAAACTTTTTTTTTTTTTTTCAGAAAATTGAATGTACATAGGGTGTCTCCTGTTTTGAGGGCGAGGCAGTAAAGTCAAGTTTTTCAGCGTGGAAGTCCTTAAATAAGTTTGGTTATAAAAATTGACTCGAGTTGAATAGACGCTATCATGACGGGAGTTTCACAAGGCACAAATGTTTTTCACTTTCGGCCTGGCAAGGATGCTGTGCGGCAGCCTTGTAACCTGGGGGTGTCTTGACGAGAATGGGCGCTTAAAAATACTAAACGTTTGTTAACCTTACAAGTAATATTATCAATAGAAGGTTTCCGAGACAGGTCTGCCTTTATGCAGCAGTCAAGGTACTTGAATGATAAATAATTTTTTATTGGTATAAGGTACAGAATTACCGGGTTTAGGAAGTGACACATTTACTAATGCACACAAGCAATTCAGGTCCCGATATTTCAATTAAACATAGGTCACCATTCAAGTCTAGGCAGCCTTTTTTATTGGCAATATCCTAGTAAATAACAATAATATCGACAAGCAGGCAAAGGTACCTCCCTAGCCCATAATTATTATCAGAATTACAAAGTCGAAAAATCAATGAAGATATTACTGCATTCCGGGTACTTCCGCAATTACCGACAGGAATTGGGAAGATGCTTCTCTAAAGTGGTTAATTTGGATTTTAGTAGTAGTGAAAGTATTCACCCAATGAGTACTGAATTAATATTAGGTACTCGTAGGTGTGCCAGTAGTTTCTAATGCTGCGTACGGATTGATAATTTTGAGGACTATAAGCGGTGTGTTTTGTTTTTTTTCTTGCGCCTTGAAATTATGATACATATGATTTACCCACTATAAAAAATGCCTCACACCTAGTTATAATTTTTGGGAAATATATTTGACGTGAAAATAATACGTCGTTAATAATTAGTATTGTTCAACCTTTGATACTTGCTACAAGAACTTAAAAACACACTCATTAAATAAGCATGTCCATATTTGCTTACATTATCAGTAGATCTAGAACATGTACGGCGAACCCCGCATTGGAATGACAACCCCTGGGGCGTATTTGAGGCGGCTCGCAACTCGTGGCTTGCAGTCCATTAAATGAACATTCAAAATTCCATTAAAATGTCCTAAGCCTTGACACCGGGTTAAGACGCACATAGCCGCTGCATCGCTTACAGCAGAAACAGAAACGTTGACTGTGGCCACCAAAAAGCATAAAAAAAGAAAGAAAAGTGTGGGTGTGTGTGTGTGTGTGTAACGTGTTTTTTTTTACTTTTATTTTAATAAAAAGCAAAAATTTAAATAAAAACATGGTGCTATTTTTAACTTCTTTTATATTGATAACTAACTATGACCTTGTAGCGTGCATTTTATGATTCATATGCCAGGACAAACATGCTGGCGCAAGAGCTCAGGCTCGCCGCGCTCGAGCTACGAGCACAAACTGCGAGACCGCGGGCGATTTTACAAATGCAGTTTTTTACCGTACCAGTCGGTCGGCCAATTCTTGTGTCTCTACAAGCTATTTCTTTGACGGTGACCTGACAAAAGTGTACGTACAAAATTGTGATATGTGTAATTTTAACTGTGATGTTTGTCGGATATCGAACGACATGTCATCTCAACTTAAAAAAATAATTAAACTACATAAAGAGAACGTATCTGCATCCGAGCACGGATAATTCCTGCTTAGTATTTTACTTGGTATTTCTAAGAAAGCTTTCATAAAAGATATTCACCTACCTATGTTTGCTAACAACTGTGCCCGAGAGCTTGATTTCTTCATCTCTATTCACATAATGCCACTGTTACGAAGCTAACTTTTGTTCAGTTCCTTCTCCGTAAACAGGGGTGATTAAAACGCGTTTTACGATACTGTATGAATTATGGCGCACATCATTCATACAGTATCGTATGAAAGAAAATGTGTTGATGTGGAAGGATGTGAAAAGGACGATACAGATTCCGAGAGCTGCGAGCAGCATAGTAGTACTTTACTTTGCTTAATCGTAAGTAAAAGCACAGTCAAAGGCCTGTAAGTTGCAGAAATACATAAAAAAATACTAAAAGCATAAGGCCATGGCCTGCTTTCAGGGTATCATTGGATGTGCCGGCGATGGCACACGCTAAGAAATACAACCAGCACAGTCACGTGGCGCTTTCGGCGCAAGGTAACTGCTGAAAATGGGTAGGACCTGATTCTTCCTATCCACTCTCAGCATCGGCTGTGCTCTGATATAAGGTGAAACAATTTGTGGCGTTCTTTCCAGGGTAATAAATTCAATTCTATTTTTTTTTTCAGGGACTGTCAGTATCTATCCTCTACTGCTTCGTCAACTCAGAGGTAAGTCGATCTTCCTGATACTACCACTTCAGCAATTCTATTCAAAGTGTTTTTTTTGTTTTTTTTTCTTATTTTGATTAGCCCAAACACCCTTTTCACTCCGCATCAGCGTGGTAAAAGTGACGCTTGCGTGTTCGCACCTTTGGAATATCAGGGCACCGATCAAGAAAGAGCTGTAGCCACGTGGCTCGTAATTGCCTTGCTGTCTGGCGCCCTTGACTCGGATCGTTAACGTGAGTAAGCGAGCGGGACGCTGGCAGGCTAATTAGTTACCGATAATTAGAAATCCTCGAAGGAAAGCAGAAAGAACACAAAACAAAAAAGATACGCGACTCAGACACGTGTCAGAAAATGAACGGCCCCCTTCTGCTTCGCTTGTCACCTTTGTTCATAATCGCGTGGCTCAAAAATGTAAGCTTCTCTGCTAGTTCCGGGGCGTCACCTGCATAGCTGGTGGAACCCATGTTGTTCTTGTCTTTTTTGGAACATTTACTTTCAATATCTTTCATATTGTCGCTTTGATGTTTCTTGATTCTAACTGAAATGTTTCAGATTGATCTTTTTAGCCGTGTAATAAGACGTTGGAAGCTGATTGACAGAAGGATGCGCTGCCGTGAACTGTAAAAAAAACGTTTGTAATATAACCGGAAATATCCGGAAACTTTCAGACAAAATAATGAAACAGTTCTTTTAGATTAAAATACAGACAAGCATATCAGTTAAAATACAGGGCTTATGTTATTCATAAAGAACACGAGTTTTCGGTAAATAAGCAGTCTAAAGATACTTTATTATCGGCAAAGATAAAATTATTACACTAAAAAACTTGTTTTTCTTTAGGCGCTCTACAAAACATTCCGTTATATGTAAAAAAAAAAACAGAGCGTATGTATTCCAACCATCCCAAACATTTTCGGTAAATAAACGGGCTAAACAAACTCAGATTACTGCGAAAACACAGAACTTTCCTCTTTCCTGCAAGGCGAATAATCATTAGATCAGAGAACAAAGCCATATTTAAAACAACTTATTTTATGAAGGAATGTTTCTTTGCAATACAAGGCATGGTACTTAGACATTTAGCTGTTGTGTGTTAATCCGCAGTAGAGTCACAGCGATAACTGCGACATGTCATGGCAAAGTCGTTCAAATTTTCAAATTTCAGACGGGAGAAGAAAATGCTTGCATAAGCCATGGAAATGCCCAGGCCCCAGCTTTTTCCCAATGAAAAGTGAGGTTCAGGCGAGAAAACAAATCAGCGTTCGCGGTTTTCAATGGATCGATGGAGGAGTTTTGAACATAGAAAAATATGTGAATGATTTCTAGTTTTGTGGTATATTCGTAGCCCATTTCACTTCTACGGAGGTGCATGTTGTGGTAATATACAGTAGAGCACTGCACGGGCCCGGACCAGCCCGAAGACCCGAGTCCGGCCCGGCCCGCGGGCCGGGCTCGGGCCGGGCTCGGGCCGGGTAGCACGCATTTTCTCGGGCCCAGGCCGGGCTCGGGCTTGAACGACATATTTTTCGGCCCGTGTGAGGGGCAGTCGTGTGCCGGAAATTCTAAATTGTTGATAACAAAAAGTGTGCTCAATAGTCTTCTAGGTACAATAAAAACACTACGGTGCCGTTAAAAAAAACAGTCTTGCTCTTGGAGAGTTTTAGTTGTATAAAAGAAAACGTATGGATTCTACCAGCATAGTGTGAAAGTGCCGTGAAGAAAACGAGGGCGCTAAGGTTGCAATGTACAACATGAGTGTCTTTTTACTCTGCCTTTCAAGAAAAAAACTTGAGTTTGACTTGGAATTTTGTGCGGGGGACCTCACTATGCCACCAAAAATAAGCTAACTAACATGGATAATTTTGTGCTTACACAGCCTTTTGAAGATGCACTAGCGTGACTCTGATTGTTTCTTTACAACGGCATATAAAGAGGAAAGTTCTCTGTGAAACGAATCGAACAACGAAAAGTCCAATATCTGTTCAAGAAATGTATCAGTAAAATATAGCCCATTTTGCTTTTTCTCTAAATCACTTATGAAGTGCATATTTCGCCCATATTCTCGAAAATAGATTGTCTAAGTCAAAATATTTATCGTGTCAAAAAAAAAAAAAAAGCTTCGTCCAAGTTTAAAAGAAATTAAAATCAAATATACTCGCTCAATGCTTAGACAGTTTTTAGGTTAAAGCCTGCATACTTTTTCGGGCTCATGTATATAATCTGTTGAGCTCGAGCTGGGCTCAGGCTTATATTTAAAAACATTTTGTCGGGATCGGGCCGCGCTCAAGCTTCTGTCTAAAAATTCGGCCAGGCTCGGGCAGTGTCTCTTGCGGGCCGGGTCGGGCCGGGCCTAAAAATTAGACATTCTATCGGGCTCGGGCCTGGCCTGGGCCGTGCCTCTACTGGGCTGGGTCGGGCCGGGCTTGGAAATTAAATACCCTACCGGGCTCGGGCCGGGCCTGGGTCGTGCCTCTACCGGGCCGGTTGGGGCCGGGCCTAGAAATTGCGGCACGTGCAGTGCTCTAATATACGGGCACTTTGATTTTAAATCGAACAGATTTCATATAAGAGTATATGGAGAGTACATGAATGCCGTCTCTTCACTGTGTGTTTTGGGGCTCGGACGACGTTTGATGGAAGAATATTAGTCGCGGTAATCGAATAATTAACTGGAATATATTTCGTATAGGCTATGATAGGAATCATCGTAAATAATGCATTTTTGACATGATTTATTGTATCCATATTAAAAGTTAATTAATAGATTTTAGTTAATCAGTCTACCGCGACGTTTTTGAAGGCGCTGGATAAAGATATATAAAAACTACGCTCTGGAAATTCGTCTGCCCCTCTTGCGCCTCGTGCATTTCTTTACCCGCCAAATGCGGCCAAGTGCTTTTGTTTACCCCCGACCTCAACCAATGAGGACACGAGGCTGGCTGCCTCGTCATCGAACGTTCCCTACGTGTTCACTGTGTTGACATTTGATGGTTGTGCCCTTCTCTTCGTTGTCACTCGCCAAAGACGCATTTTGGCGCACTTCCGTATTCACTTGGAAATTTTGAACTAAATATTAAGTAGGAGGAACATTTGGTCAGGCCGTTATCGAAAATACACCCTTCAGCCCAAATGTTTCATGAGACCCTCTCAGCACTACAAACCCTTTCAACCCATCAAACCCCCTCAGCCCGTCAGACCCTTCAGTCCATCAACCCTTCAGACGCCCAAATGACTCCGCTCAAACCTGGGCGTAAGCAGCTGTAGACGAAAGCGATAATGTCAAAGAGGGACAACCGATTTCTGTGTAAAAACAAAATATCTTTGAAAGTACTCCTGCGGAACCAAGGAAGACGCCGCACGGATCTATATCTTTGAAAGACCTGCAGAACCAAGGAAGAAATCGCACGCACCAAAACAGACCAAGTGGCAAGCCCTCAAAGCCATGCTCACCTTTCTGGAGGAACCCGGACCTATCCAGATATCCACGGCGGTAACAACAAGCAAACCGCACACGAGCGGAGAGAAAATGGCTATACCGGCCTCCTTGGCTTCTTCACACCACTTGCTTTCGCCGACCGCTGGACAAGAGCCTGAAAGTCCTGCACACCCCCCCCCCCCCCCCCCCCCCCTGCGAGCGCCGAACGGAGGGAAACGCAGCACTCCTTCGCCGTGCTAAGGTTAACGCGGGGCGCGGGGGCTCTTGACGTGAACGGATCTCGCCTCTCAACAGGGAATTTTCGTGGACCGTTTTCGCCGTCCCGCAATGCCCTCCGCAACCCGCTGCAATACCCGGAACTCTACAGTCAAGGCCATCGGCGCGCAAGCGCAGTAGCGGCTTCTTCGTTGCGGAGGGATTAGCGGAAAGGGAAACGCAGTGTACAAAAGCTCCCTAATAAGACCGAAAAGACAGGATTGCGTTCGCATCCCAACGCCGCTCGGCTGGCACCTCGTCAATTCTCCATATGGGGTGGTCGCCCCCGGCCGCCTCCTTGGCGACCTGACATCCAAGCAGTGACAAACAGGTGGGCCTATGAGTCCACAAACACGATAGGATCTGTTTCCTTTTCCAACTACATTGCCCGATTCAAAAAATGTATAAGCGGCTTCCTCGATGCATATATCCTGAAAGGACATGTGATCGCTACCACAAACCTGTTAAAACGATTTTGTTGAGTGGTGTGGTATCACGGACAGGATTGGGACAGACCCCACAGGCCTCTCAAAAAGCTACGACGGATATTTTACACTCTTTAGGAGTTCTTAAAGGGTATGCACGTTAGGCCTCTTACTAAACTTTGACGGACATCTCAAACATATCAAACATTTTTATAGGCGCGTCAGAACATTAAAATTCTTTTGGGTCTCATAGGCGGATTTTTAATAGGGGCTCTATGTGTTTATGCTACAAATATCACAGCAACCGGTCAAGTAGAGTTAAAAAATAAGAATGCCACGATCGGCGAGCATGGGATTCGTAGAGGTGGGTGCGTGATTGTTGTGTTGCTGTCATTTGTGTGTCTTTTTTTTCTGTTTGTGTATGTCAGTACATTGTATCCTATATTCTCGCTTGCCTGTGTATTTCGAGCTTCAACGACAAAGTAAATACCAACGTCGCAGTTGGTTGTTATCACTCTAAAACTTTTTCTATTGAAAAACAAAAAAATATATATATTTTTTGAAGAAACGTTTAGAACAGAACTCGCTTTTTTACAAAATCTGTTTCACACTTCTAAGAACAGAAACTATTTTTCTACTAGGCTGGGCACCAAAAAGTTAGTCATTTAAAAAAAGGACGAAAACCGAAAATATTGTTTTTTAACAAACAATACGAAAGAGAGAACCGAGGAAAACAGATAATTTGTGGCAAAAGAGCTGGCAAGCTTTTTTTTTTACTTATTTTTTACAGTGATGGCAACATTGTTGTGAGCCTGTTCAGTGCCTCGTGTAATACGGCCTCATAAACATAAGAATATAAAACCGCTCGTCTAGTGCACTACTTT